CTTTTCCTAACGAAATTGGAAAACAGCTAGCTACATGCCAGGTGAATTGAATGTGTTCTCATTCCCAGTGAGAGTTAGTTCTTAGAACTGTCATTTTTCATACATGATGATCCAGGGAGAAGGTACAGGGGCAAATGAGGAGGTCTTTAGATTTGTTTCTGAGGATTTCTTTCCCATCTAAGCAGAGCTGTGGAAAGTGGAAAGTCTCCACCCATGCCTCCATGATCCATCTCCCCATGAACAGTCTGGAACTTTATTTTGTTAAATGTCAGGCATTGGGTCACTGATTTACAGAGTAAGATTTATCTGGAAATGACTGTCAAGCTTGGTGGGTAACCAGGAGCGAAAGATGATGTTATCTCAGATAGTTGCCATTTAGTGACATGCCCTAATTACGGTTATTTAGGTCAATGTGTCCACACTTCATCCTCCTAAGTGTAGAGGATGTTGATGACATGTCTGCAGCAAGCTGCTTGTGATCATTAATGGTAACTTTGGTACAACGTAGGCAGTGGCGGCTGAGAGGCAAGGCAGGTAGTAGAACATTTGTGGTAAGTTCTAAGTTGTTGTGATTTGGCTATGAGGGCAGGAACAGCAAGTAACTAATGTAAGATAGTTGTAATGTAGAGGTAAGTGTAAAATTCCCAAAGTATGGGTTTGCATTGTCATTTTGATGGAAATCTTGTTGCTCATGAAGTGCAGGGGAAGCGGGTGGGGGGAGGGGGGGCGCGGGTGGCAGCTGTGTTTCCCAGTTAAGGCCCAAACTGCACTATCCTTCCCCTACTTTTAAGAAAGAAAAAAATAAATAACCTTCAAATTCCAAGCTTTGTCTTTCATCTCTGCTCTTGGGGCTTTTGGGTAGTGCCACATCTGGTGGTGGTTTGTGTAAAAGGAAATTATATATATATAATAGTTTCCTGTTTGGTCATTTAAACCTATCCCTGAGCTAGACAAAATTTAATCCACTTCACCTAACAGCTGTGTCTTGCACCAAATGCCAAAGAAAAGCTTCCCAGACCCTTTGACCCTATTGTTTTCATTTATGTTAATAGTCAACAGCTTACCAATAATGGAAGCAATGATATATTTCTTTAGAGCTAGGATTGTTTCTGAGTCAGAGTTGTCATTGTCACTGTCTCCCTTTTATTTGTTTGTTTGTTTGCACCAGTCCTGGGGTTTAATCTCAGGGCCTGGGCTCTGTCCCTGAGACTTTTTGCTCAAGGCTAGTGTTCTACCACTTGGGCCACAGCTCCACTTTATTGGAGATAAGAGTCTCACTGAGTTTCCTACCCCAGCTGGCTTGAACATCAATCCTCACACCTCAGCCTCCTGAATAGCTGTGAGTACAGGTTTGAGCCACTGGTGCCCTACACTCTCCCCTTCTTTTAATCATTTTTGTCATTGTCACGACTCCCCTCTTTTAATCATTTTTTGAGCCAAAAGGAATAAATTTCTTTTATTCCTGAATTAAAAAAAAAGATTTATAATGTAAATTGTTTAGTATAGTTTTTAAGTCCAATAATTCAATTTTAAAAATACTTTAAATTGCCTTTTTTCTAAGTTAGCTTTGGTTCTCAATGGGGCCAAGCTTGACAATCTTGTTTGTCCTGGGAGGTTTCTTGAAGAATTAGTTTGTTTTGGTGCCCACATTGGGACTTGAACTCGGGGCATGGGCACTGTCCCTAACATTTTTGGCACTCTACTACTATTTGAGCCACAGCTCCACTTCTAGCTTTTGTGTCTGTGTGTCTGTGTGGTTAATTGGGGATAAGAGTTTCATGGACTGTCCTGCCTAGGCTGGCTTCAAACTTTGGTTCTCAGATCTCAGACCCCTGAGTAGCTAGGATTACAGAGGTGAGTCACAGTTGTTCAGCTTGTGAAATCTTTTTTTCTGTCATTTACTGCAGCGGTGGGCAGCTTTCTTCTCTCTAAGCATGACTATTTGTGGTACTATCTGACAGACCATTTATGACATTATTTCTGTATATCGGCTTCTCTTCCCAGCAAACACATCATACTCTTCAAGGACAAATAGTTACCAAATCTGTGTGTATATATCGTTTTTTGTTTTGTGTGTGTGTGTGTGTGTCAGTTGTGGGGCCTGAACTCTGGACCTGTGCGCTGTCCCTCAGCTTTTCAGCTCAAGGCTAGCACTCTACCACTTGAGCCACAATGCCACTCCCTGCTTTTTCTGCTTATGTGATGCTGAGGAATCTAACCCAGGGCCTCATGTATGCAAGGCAAGCGCTCTACCACTGAGCCACCTTCCCAGCCCCTGTATATTGTTTTTAAAATATTTTATTATGGCTGGGTGCTGGTGGCTCACACCTGTAATCCTAGCTACTCAGGAGGCTGAGATCTGAGGATCAAAGTTCAAAGCCAGCCCGGGCAGGGAAGTCCATGAGATTCTAATCTCCAATAAACCATCAGAAAAACTGGAAGTGGCACTGTGGCTCAAGTGGTAGAGTGCTAGCCTTGATCTGAAGAGCTGAGGGACAGCACCCTGGCCCAGAATTCAAGCCCCACAACTGACACATACACACACACAAAATTGTCTTAAAGCAGTGGTACAAAGGGCTTGCCACTCAACAAAGTAGTTTATAAATACAGTGTGTCTTGATGAATATATATATACAGAATGGAAAAAATCCATTCTGTAGCCACCAGTTGCTTGTACTCTAGTCCCTTAAACTTATTTCAGTTTCTTTTTCTTAAAGACAGGGGTCTCCACCACTGGGGCAGGGCTCAAAGAGTAGAGTACTTACCTAAGAAATACAAAACCAAGAGTTTTACCCCCAGGACCACACATTAAAAAAATATATTAGAAGTGTGTAGATGCTTGAATGTTTATAATATTACAAAAAAAAAGGCATGGGCTGCAGCCTGTTTGTATAAAGGGAGCTTTACATCCTTTTTTAAAGTGGATATAGGGTAGAACATACACAAATATAGACAAAGACTGTATATAACCTACAAATTTCAAAATATTTACTACCAAGCCTGGCATGGCCACAATATCTGTAATCCATGTACTCACAAGAGAACTGAGAGTTTGAGGCCAGCCTGGCCTATATAGCAAGACCAAAAAATAATAGCAGCAATCATTCATAGATAGATAGATAGGCAGACAGATAATTTATAACTTACTACTAGTCTTTTACTGTAATAGTTTGCTATTCCCTGGCTCAGGCTACCATTATGCTAAAGTTTTAAGCTTTATATTTTGAGCAAATAACATTCTCTATATCTTACACATGAAGTCTCATTAGTACATTCTCCTCTACCAATGTAAGTTATGCTATATTTATTCTAATTTTCTATTATACCAAATTAAAGATCAGAAATATTTTAGATACTCTTATTCTGGTTCACAACTCTGGCTGACTTTAAAAATCATCTGGTGAGCTTTGAAAACAGTTTTGCCAGAAAGCAAGCAAGCAAGCAAGAAAGAAAGAAAGGAAAGAAAGAGAGAGAGAGAAAGGAAGGAAGGAAGAAAGAAAGCAAAAAAGATAAAGAATAGAAGGAAGGAAGGAAGGAAAGAAAGAAGGAAGGAAGAAAAGAAAGGAAGGAAGGAAAGGAAGAAAGGAAGGAAGGAAGGAAAGAAAAAAAGCAAAAAAGAGAAAGAATAGAAGGAAGGAAGAAAAGAAAGGAAGGAAGGAAGGAAAGGAAAGAAAGGAAGGAAGGAAGAAAGGAAGAAAGAAAGAGAGAGAGAGATAGAGAGAGAAAGGAAGGAAGAGAGAAAGAAAGGGAGAAAGAAAGAAAGAAAGCAAAAAAGATAAAGAATAGAAGGAAGGAAGGAAGGAAGGAAGGAAAGAAAGAAGGAAGGAAGAAAAGGAAGGAAGGAAAGAAAGAAAGAAAGAAAGCAAAAAAGAGAAAGAATAGAAGGAAGGAAGAAAAGAAAGGAAGGAAGGAAGGAAAGGAAAGGAAGGAAGGAAGGAAGAAAGAAAGAAAGAAAGAGAAAATAACCAACCTTTTTTGGGGTTGGAGGCATGACTCAGTTGATAGAGTGCTAGCCATGAGCAAAAGCAGCAGGTACTGAATTCAAGTCTCAGTCTCTGACAAAAAAAAAAAAAAGTTTGGCCTAAGCCTTTCACCAAAAAGCCTGATTTCACCCATCTGAGGCAGTCTGGGCATAGGTGTTTGTCTCACATGCTCTTCAGATTATTTTACTGGGTAGCTAAGTCTGAGAAGCCACATCCTATACCACCCAAATGCCTATTTGTGGATAAACACTTAACACATATTCTCTGTCCATTTTCTTCACATTTTTTCTCTAGAAATACAATAGAAATGCATAACACAAATGGCTCTTTAATTTCAAGACAGCAGTGTGGCCCTGGGAAACTTTAGCTGAGACAATTTTGAAATATGAAGAGCAGACAAAACAGATCACACAGAGCCCAGAGAAACAGAATCTGAAAGATAAGAACTGAGAAGAGAATATTGAAAGGAAAAAAAAAAACTCAGAATTTCAATACACAAATCACTGAGTAGATTTCTCACTATCTGGGTGAGTGTGCCTATTTTCAAAAGTGCTATTAACATAAACAGAGCAGTAAATCTGGGGCACCATGCTTTTTTATTTTTTTCAAAGTTGTTAAGAAGAATTATATTAGTGTGCAGGTGTCACACGCAGTTACTCAGAATCAGAAAGAGGGCTGATGGGGGTTAAAAGATCTCCATCTATCTATTTTTTGTTTGCAACCAACCACGTCCAGGCTGTTTCTTCAATACTTCCTCTTGGTAATGAAGAAGGTATTGGCTGGGGATGGGTCGGGCTTTCCCATCTCAGCCTAAGCCTGCAAGATTTGAATGTGCCCTGGTGTCCGTCTCACTGACCCACAGCAGGTACCCAGGGCAGGAATCTGAGCGTGAACAACAGGTAAGGACTCTATCAAATGAGGATTTGACCTCAGACGTTTCTCTTTCCAGCTGATTTCCTTTTTCTCCGTTTACTAACTAATCTTTTCACCCTTTTCTTTTATATTTTTCCAAACTAGCAAGTGTGGAGGCAAGACACATCAAAACAGAGATGGGAAGTGAAAGAGCTCTCGTTCTGGACAGATTAGCAAGCAATGTGGCAAAACGAAAAAGCTCAATGCCTCAGAAATTCATTGGTAAGAATGTAAACCCTTTTCCTGCTGCTGCTAGCAGATAGTTTAAATGAGATAACATGTAGATGCTTATTACACAGCCTCTTCCTAGCTCAGCTTCTGTTGAAACAAGGTAATTGGTTTCCATTGTACATATTTTATCCTATGTGGTTCCTTTCGATGGCTCTCGTACATAGATTGAAGATATTAACTACAGAATCTTAACCACAGAAGAAGGGGAACATTTGGTATCCAGTTGCTTAAATGGAATAAGTGTTTAAAATGCCATTCCTTCCTCTTTGCTCTGAATGACATATGTTGCCTGAATTTATGCAGCTTGTATCAGTAAGATGTTGCAGATCAGCATCCTTGGATCTATAAGTTGATTCTGTTAGCATGCTTAAATTTTCCTCCGGAATTTGGTTGAGAACTAGCTTAACAAAAACTGCTTGGGCAAACATAGATTGAACTAACACGGCATTATTCAGTCATTTATCTTACCAAAGTTATTTATTTTTTTTTTTTTGCCATTGGTTTTCACATTGTCAGAACCCACAGCAGAATGAGATGACTAAGAAATAATTACATTCATTAAAGTGTGAGGACTTCCACATGGCAGGGATATTTTGCTGTACTCTCCCAGATGTTTACACACATATGACCATGCTATTTAAAATAGATTTGTGGCTGGGACGTAGACAGCTGAATTAAATGTACTGTTTTATTATAAATGTACAGTTGTATTATAAATTGAAAGTTGATAATATCAAACTAAAATAGTTATCAGGCAAAAATAGACCTTCTTCAACACCCGTATTTTAGAAATCTGTCAGTGTCTTTCCAAATCTGCTAATGATATGTCACTTCAGTCCTTTTGACTTTATTCTTTCTGATGGCTTTTACAGATATCAAATGGCTGCCTAGTTTTTAATCTGGCTAGATTCTATTCTGATCTAGCTCATGGTTTTACAAGCAGACATTCTATGTGAATTATAGAGTATATTAAGAGGAGCCAAAGATTTCAAAAATACTCAACTTGGTATTTCTGATTACTTACTTCATTATCATTAGCTAGACGTTTTTATATGCTCTTAAGTGCTTTAAGAATAAATTGTGCCAAGCACCAGTGGCTCCACCTGTAATCCTAACTACTAAGGAGGCTGAGATCTGAGCATCACGATTTGAAGCCAGCCCTGGCAGGAAAGCCTATGAGACTTTTTTTTTTTTTTTTTTTGTCAGTCGTGGGGCTTGAACTCTAGGCCTAAGTGCTGTCCCTCAGCTCTTCAGCTCAAGGCTAACACTCTACCACTTGAGCCATTTCCCCTATAAGACTCTTATCTCCAATTAACCACCAAGAAAGATGGAAGTCAAGCTGTGGCTCAAGTGGTAGAGCCTTTTGGAAAAAAGCTCAGGGACAACACCCAGGCCCTAAAGTTCAAGCCCTAGAATCAACACCAAAAACAACAACAACAAAAACATTGTGTTAGAATAAAGTTGGTGTGTTACAGTTTAAGAAGATTCACCCCTCCTGACCACCTTGTCTCCCCTTACTGAGAAATGTCAAGGGACAGATGGCAACTTCTATAGGAAGGTCAGGCACAGCAGATCAGTCAGCCTTCTGAGACATTATCTTAAAGCATTGCTGATGTATCACTTAACTTTTACTCATGTGAAGAGATTCTGACTGGCATATAAAAGAAAGTATGGATTATTATTCTACAATTTGAAATGAACTTTAATTGGGGAAATGTTTTGATTCTAGAAATGGCTGAAGCTGGCATGGGGAGGAATATGGGGAGAGATGGGCGAGGAAAACTGAGAAAAGTTTCTTCATTGCAACATATTGACATCAAAACATATTGAAATCCAAAAGAACTAACATCTGAAAGAGGGACCTAGTTTTCCTGGCTATCTTATCCTATAGTCGAGCCCAGAGCCCTACTTACTATAGGCAAAGTTGCTTTGGTATTTTCGTGAGTTCCAAATGCCACCTTTTAATTTTCTAGCTCCACGAAGTTTTGCTTGTAGCCTCAAAGATCAGTTCAGTCCAGTTTGTGGTTACCTTTTCTCTATAAGTTGCACCCCTCCACCACACCAGTCTTGGAGATACTAGTTTCTCTCACCTTCTGAACTATCACATTTGGTGTTGGAATCAGAAACCTAGCAGAGTTAGCTCTTGGTTGAACTGATGTAGCAGCTTCAAGGGCCAAAATCATGGGGGTGGAGGAATGGGGAAGGGGGGTCTTTTGGTTTTCTGTAAATTGTATAATACATTTAGAAGATTAGCAGATTCAGAGCCACAGAGACTCAAACTCCATTCTAGCTCGGTCATTCCTTAACTATGTGTGTTTAACCAAATCACATGACCTTCCTGGGCCTCTCTCGGTAAAAGGAGTGATGAAGTGACTAGGAAGGCCGCTCCCCTCTGTAAGTGCATAAGAGGAATTAAAAACCCCAGGCAGCGCTGCAAATACCATTTTGTGTTGATAGAGCTTGTGCATTTAACTCTAGGTAAGTTTTCTCTCAAGATTCTATAGACAGGGCATGAATATAATAAACCATTTCATGTATTGAGGAGGGTCTTTTTAACTGGAATACTCAGGGCCTGGAACATGTTACTGTTACAAAAGTGCACTGCTACTGAACTATTAAACCTCCCTGCCAGGATTGTTTTTGTTGTTTTTGTTTATGTGGGGTTTATGTGTGTGTGTGTTTATGTGGTGTGTGTGTGTGTGTGTGTGTGTGTGTGTGTGTGTGTGTGTGTGTGCCTGTTCTGGGGCTTAAACTCAGGGCCTCAGTGCTATCTCTGAGCTTGAGCTTCTTTGCTCAAGGCTGGCACTCTACCACTTGAGCCACAGCTCCACTTGTGGCTTTTTGTTAGTTTATTGGAGATAAATCTCATGGACTTTCCTACCTGGGCTAGCTTTGAACTGCAAACCTCAGATCTCAGCCTCCTGAATAGCTAGGATTACAGATGTGAACTATCAGCATCCGGCCTGTTGTTCTTGTTTTGGGGGAAAAAATACTATTAAATCTAAGAATCTTCAAACAAACAACAGACACCTGTTGCATCAGCTCAACATCTGTGTACTTTTCGCAGGACTTCCCTGTGAGACTTGTTCCCTTGCTCCTGCATCTTCTTCTCCATTGGAATGGCTGAGAGCCCTTAATCAGATGCATGTTACTCTTGTTCTCAACACTGTTCTTACATCCCAAAACCATTGTTTAAAAGATTTCCTATAAAAGAAACCCCCACTGAGCACCTATAATCCTAGCTACTCAGGAGACTGAGAACTGAAGGCTGAGGATCAAAAATCAACCTAGGCAGGGCTGGGAAGGTGCTCAGTGGTAGAACGCTTGCCTTGTATGCATGAGGCCCTGGGTTCGATTCCTCAGCACCACATAAGCAGAAAAAAAAAGCCAGAGGTGGTGCTATGGCTCAAGTGGTAGCGCGCTAGACTTGAGCTGAAGAGCTGAGGGACAGCGCCCAGGCCCAGAGTTCAGGCCCCACGACCAGACCCAAAAAGAAAAAAAAACAAAAAACAAAAAGTCAAACTAGGCAGACAAATCTGTAAGACGCTTATCTCCAATTAACCAGCACAAAGCTGGAAGTGGAGATGTGGCTCAAATGGTAGAGAGTGTCAAGCAAAAGCCAAGCAAGAGCATAAGGCCAGGCTGGGAATGTGGCTTAGAAGTAGAGTGCTTGCCTAGCATGCATGAAGCCCTGGGTTCGATTCCTCAGTACACCATAAACAGAAAAAGCCACAAATGGTACTGTGGCTCAAGGGGCCAGGTGCTAGCCTTGAGCAAAAGAAGCTCAGGGACAGTGCCCAGGCCCTGAGTTCAAGCCCCAGGACTGACAAAAACAAACAAACAAAAAGAGTATAAGGCCCTGAATTCCAGCTCCATGAGTATCGTGTGCAAGCATGCGTGTGTGTGTGTGTGTGTGTGTGTGTGCGTGTGTGTGCACCTGCGTGCACACACACACACACACACACACACACACCATTGAATCATTTAACTGAATCCATCTGTGATAGGAAACTGTTAGGTCGGGGGAAGGAAAAGAAGAATGTGATTTGTGACACCGCAGTGTTAAGGGATGAAGTAACATAACCCATACAGAACTAAGATTTTCCTCCCTTATCCCTTTTCCTCCCTGCTCCCTTCCCTCTCCTTTATTTCCCCTTTCCCTTTCCTCCACCCCCTTCTCTCTTCTCTTCTCCTTGGCACCATTTTCTGACAAGCTTCTGCTGCCTGCCAGGGAAGTGGCACTGGGTGAGCTGTGGAGAATGAGTCATTCCCTTTCATCCTTGCTCAGGCTGCACAACACTCCCACCATCCTGGCTGGCCCTGACCCCTTTGAACTGCAAGGGCAAAGGTGAAATTCCATCGGTAGGTCAGCCTGCCCCTTCCATGGCAGACAGAGGAGATTAACCAGTAGGTAGCTGTTAGATTCACTAGAAAGAAGGTGGAAAAGGACAGATCAGATTAAGCCTACATCCATTTGTAAACTCAAAACCTTATTGACCAAAACAACAACAATAACAACAAACACATATGGACATGTAAGAGTAAAGTAAATGACCCTTGTAAAAGAAAAGCTATATTTTTTTCTTCTTTTCTTTTCTTTTTTTTTTGTGGCAGTACTGAGGTTTGAACTAAGGACCTTCCACTCGTTAGACAAGTACTGTGTGTGTCATGTGAGTCATAACCCCAGTCCTGGTTTTTTTAATCATTCTCGAAGAAATTTTGTATGGCTTTATGTCAATAAACAGATGCTCACCCATCATCATCTTTATGGCATCAGGATAATTTGGTTCTTTCTAAAAGACAAGAACTTGCTTTGCACATCCTACCCCTTCCAGAGGACTGTCTATCTCTGAATCTTGTCCTGTAACTTGTTTGACTATACTTTACATGAGGCCATCCTCATCCTGGGGGAGGGGGATGTAGCTCAGTGGTAGAGGACATGCCCATGATGTCCAAGGCCCTAGGTTTTCCCAGCACTGCAGGGCAGTGGG